TACTTTAAGAAAGAAATCTTGAAGGCACAGGAGCAGCCTGGCCTTTGTTCCAAAAGAAGAGGAGGTGGAAGAGAAGACCTCCCTGGCTGAGAAGGGAGCATTCCCAGGATCTCAGGGAATAAAGAGGGTGTATCAGCTTTGGAAAATTGGCAGGACGCTCAGGTAGAGTTGGAGGATGTCATTAGGTCTTGCAGAGAGAAAAGCAGAGAGGACAAAGCTCAGTTAGGACTTGATCTGGCCCATTCTGTAAGGGTAATAAAGAGCTGTTTTAGGACTATATTAACAAGGACCGAGCGTAGTCACAGTTTTTCACTGGACACCGTGGGGAATATATTCAGCAAATCCAAGGGAACGGCTGAGGGGCTTAACACCTTCTTTGCCTCAGCTTCCAGGAGCAGAATTGATGAGCATCAGGACAACGGGCCTCCTGATCTGGGAGGGAGGGAAGGCAAGCACCATGGAACCCCTGTAAGAAACAAAGTAGTAAATATTTCCTAAGGAATTTAGGTGCTCACAAGTCCTTGGGATTGGATGGGATTTCTGCTAGGGAGGTCAAGCAGCTGGGGCAACAGCTCATTAAGCCAGTGCTGAGAAGAGGAACTGAGGTAGGTTGGTGACCACAAGCTGTATCTGCCGCTTTCGCTGTCACTGTCAGTGCCGGTGCCGGTCAATTGCCGGTCCCATTGCCGGTGCCGGCGGCGGCAGCGCCCCGGGATCCCGGGCCGAGCGGGGCGAGGCGGCCCCGGCGGCCGGAGCGGCAGCGCCCCCTGCTGGCCCCGCCCGGCCCCGCCCGCGCCGGTTCGTGCCCGGCCGCAGCCCCGGCTCCTCTGCCCGTGGCCCAGCGCGCAGTAATACACGGCCGCGTCCCCGCGCCGGGGCCAGCCGAGCCGCAGCGCGCTCCAGCGCCGGTCTGCCGACACCCACAGCTGGCCCAGATTGTCCGGCAGCTCTTTCGACTCTTTCATAGTGAGTGCGAGGAGTTCGGGTGCTCGGCCAGGGAGATGTCGGTACCACTGGATCCAATCTCTTGTCTGGATTTTGGGATGTGAGCAGGTGATGTTGATGCCGGTGCCCTCGGTGGTCTCCAATGACGACTCCTGCTCTATCTGGGCTCTAGCCACAGCCACTGCCACCGGGAAAAGAACAATCACTTTTCTTTCCCAGAAAACGGAGAGAGATTGGAAAAAAGGACAGATCATCATTAACTGAGATATGTCTCGAGAATAGAGTAAGAAGAGATTATTTATCCGAAAGCGTTTGGCTGGGGACACGATCATATGAAGGGTGTTTAGACGGACAATTGCAATTTTTAAGAGTAGAAAGGAATGAGCAAAAGAGATTTTCCTGAATGGAGGGAGGGAGGGAGGGAGGGATTGATTGATGGACGGACGGATGGATGGATGGAAGGACGGACGGACGGATGGAAGAAGAAACCTTGTAAAAAGAAAACAAACACGCAGGGAGGACTTGCCTGCGGTAAAAAAAAACCCTTGAGGGCAGAGTAGGAGACAGAGAGCAAACAAGAACTGAGTCGGAGAAAAGGAGTTAGAGATGAATCTTGGGGCGACAGGAGTTTCATCCAGCCCCCAGACCACCCGCCCTGCTTCCTTCCCCCGCGCACCGAGCAGCAGCAGCGCGGGCAGCACCGCCAGCCCCGCGCCCCGACACCGCCGCATGCCGCCGCTCCGCCGGCCGAGCCTCGCTGTGCCCCTCAGCCCCGGCTCTGCTGCGGCCGTGCCGCCTCCTCTGCAACGCCGCCAGCTCCGCCCCGGCCCAAATC